GACCGGGAATTGATTGGCCTGCCGCGCCGAGGCGTGGTGGGCCAGTAGTGGCGGAGCGACACGCTGTCTGAGAGTTCCCGACCGTGATTGTGTCCCCATTGGAAGGTTTCTGTCTCGTCAAAAGGGTGCTCCCGCTGCAGCGTTGGTCTCACTCCTGGATCGGCGCCCTGTTCCCGTCGTTCAGAGTAGCGCTCCCGCCACAGAGCGGGCCAAATTTCTGGATCCAATTCCTTCCTCGTCGTTATCTCCCCCTCGTTTCCCCTCCTCCCAATTCCCCTGGTCCCCCTGCTCTTCCCGCTCCTCCTGATCCTGCTGCTGCTCCTCCTCCTCCCCTCTTCCTCTCTTCCTTTGCTCCTCTCTTCAATCTCTCCTCCGCCGCGTCCTCCCCCTCCTCTTCTCTTCCTCCTCCTGCTCCCCCACTCTTCTCCTCTCTCCTCTGTCTTCCTCTCCTCTATATATTCTGCTCCGCCTCCTCCTCCTGCTCGTCCGCGCTGCTGCCATCAGTCCCGCCACCGAACCCAGCGAGCCCTTTCACCTGGGCCTGCTCCTCCTTCTGCCCCTCGACCCCCGGCGCTTCGAACACACGCGTCGGCTGGGCCGTTCTTCCCCCCGGCGTGGCTTGCGCCAGCGGCTCTTGCTCGGTCCAGCGCTCGTCCGCTAGCGTGGCCGTATAGTGTACCATTTCATGTCATTCGTCGCCTCCCTTCCTTCTCCCGCCTCCCTGCTCTTCCCTCCGTCTTCCCCCCTCCCGCGCTGTGTGCGACACGCCGGCGTCCACCCCGCAATTCTGCGGCCAGGTGTTGATTTCTTCGTCTGGTTGCCCATTCGACGGGTTCGCCTGTCCGGTCCCTCCGTTTCCATTATTGTCCCCCCGCTCCTTCCCCATACAATTTCACCGATACGATCTGGGGTGGGTTCGTATCGTGTAGAGTTCTGGTGCCAAAGAAGGGGGAAAACCAAACACTTTGTGAACTTAGGTTTGCGTGTTGGCTCCGTTAGTGCAGTAGTTTCTCTGTTTTTTTTCTTCCCCCTTTTCTCCTTGAATTTGCGGCTCGAATTTCGGCCACGTTCGCAAGACACCCTCCGTCCGTTTCCTGTGCATTTGCGGTGCCGCTGCACGTTGCCTCGTGTCTTCACCGCTGTTCGGCCAAGTGGCGTGGGCAATTGTGCCGAGGTGGTCGTGTTGTCGTTCTCCGTCCGAGGCCCGGTGGCCCTGCTGGCCCTCCGGAGCGCCCTGCAAGCAAAACAACAAATCAAACACACATCCGCCTCGTAATACTTGGATGGTTCAGCAGGGGGAGGGGGGGAGGAGGAGAAGGAGGAGGAGGAGGAGGAGGTGGAGGAGGAGGAGGAGGAGGAGGAGAAGGAGGAGGAGGAGGAGGAGGAGGAGAAAAATGAGGAGGAGGAGGAAAGGAGGAGGAGGAGGAGGAAAAGGAGTAGGAGGAGGAGGGGGAAAAGGGGGGGAGGAGGAGGAGAGGAGAAGAAAAGGAGGGGGAGGAGGAGGAGGAGGAGGAGGAGGAGGAGGAGGAGGAGGAGGAGGAGGAGGAGGAAGAGGAGGAGGGAGGAATATGAGGAGGAGGACGAGGAGGAGGGAGGGGGAGGCGGAGGAGGAGGAGACAGGACAGGACAGGACACCCGCATAAGCGCGACAAAGTCAACGCTTACGAAGGTGCCTTACGCGCAACTGGCAAAATCCCCTGCGATTCGGTTGTGCCGCAGACCTAGACTTCTCGCATGGGGGCCGGCAGGGGGCATGCCCCGAAGCTTCAAGGGGCGAGCTCCGAGGTGGCCCCGTGAGAGAGGATCGCTACCTTGTGAGTACGAGCCCCTACGGGTCAGTGCGGGGGGGCAGCTGTTGGACCTCTCGCGTGCCCATGACAATGGGGACGCGCTGGGCGAGCAGGGCTCCCAAGCGAGAGGGGGTAACGACGACACGGCCACTCTAAAAAGGAGAAGAGGAGGGAAAGCGGGAAGTCCTTGCATGCCAAGCTTTGCTGGGGAGGGGGGGGGGGGGGGCGAATTCCATCCTGCCTACGACCTGCTGCTTCTTTATTTCTACCATAGTTTCTCTCTCTCTCTCTCTCTCTAGGCTCATTTCTCCTCCTGAACGTGCTGGCCGATAGTTGTCCCGTGCGTTGTCGTACCTGCACCCTGATGCCCCGCAGTAGTATCCCACAGCACCCCCTCGGTGCGCAAGTAGGGGTGAGCATACTTCTTGTCAGGGCGTGTGGGAGGACGGCTGGTGCCGCCCAGCATCGGGCGGGTGGCGGCACGGGGCCGCCTCGTGGCCGCCTCCCTGCTTGCGCTTGGAGTTCTGCTGGGGTTTGCTGCCCTCGCGCCCGCCCGTGCTCGCCCCCGGGGTTGGGCGGCGCCTCACGTGGCCGCCCCCTTCTGCGCTGGAGGTGCGCCGCACAGCTCCAGCCACGCAGAGCCTGCACCGCAGGGTCTGCATCACCAAAGGCTTGCAGGACACTCCTTGCTCCATAGGTAGGTGCATCTG